GCCAGGCCATCGGCATCGCCACGCACAGGCTGTACGACCCCAGCTCGGAGTTTGGCCTCGTACTCGTTGGCACCATGAACGCCATCAGCTCTGGTCTGCTCGTCTTTGCGAGCCTTGTCGAGCTGCTAAGTGAGGATTTCCTGAGCGACGAGAGCTGGAAGGTGCTTCGTGGTGGGCGTAGGATTGTCGCTTGCGTGCTGGTGTTCCTGGGCGCTTTCGGCATGAGCGTCGTCGGTGCTTGGGCTTAGGGCTCACGAGTGTTCGACGTGTCAGAGAGGGAGCGAAGGATTGAGAGGGTGTCAGAGGCGGAGAGTGAGGGTTGACAGGGGCAGAGGAGGTCAAGAGTCTGGGTGAGGATGCATGAGTGAGAGCGCAGAGGAGGAAGGGAGAGTGGACGATGTGAGGACGAGGAGGGTGACGACAAGAGCAAGAGGAGGATTGGGCGGAGAGGGCCACCGGTGAGGCGAAGATCGATGAGAGTTCAATGGCTTGCAAAGTTTGCTACATATTGAAGACGACATGGGCGGGCGCATGGGATGGCGCACTCTAGCTGCTTCGTCCATTCATTTCAGGATACTCCAACCATGGGGCATCACCTACGTAAACTGGCCCGGCGCCACAGTTGTAGTGCAATCAATGAAGTGAGCACCATGCCCTCGGCGCCGACCTTTTTGTGAAGAGAAGCCCCAAGGCAGGCAGTCTTGATCGGCCTGACAAACAACCAGATTTGCGCCCCTTGAACCCCATGTCTATCGAGACCGAAAAACGCCAACAAGTCTAAGTATCCCCCAAACGCCCCCATCTTGAGCAAGTCCCAGACCACAACACATGGATAGGCTTCTCACCCAACAAAGGTACAGTCGTCAGAGCTCGTTCCCAGCCCGCTATCACGGCTTCGAGGCCCTCCAGCGCCAACGTCGGCTGCCGTATCCCAAGACCGCATTCGCTCCCTTGCTCCAAGCCCATAGGGGATCCCCTCTCTCCAAGCCATCATCTCCTCCCTCAGCCTCGCCTCGCTCTCCTGCCTCGCCCTCTCCTGCATCAGCCTCCGTGACAGCGCCTCCTCCATCGGGCTCAGCGGCGCAAGATGGTGTCCCGTCCGCGCCCGCCGCTGCCGCTGCTGGCTCTCCGCGACAGACGACACCAGCCCATCGCGCAAGAGAGCATCGTGCCCATCGCAGCAGCTGCGCCCGGCGGCCCTCTGGCCCGGACACCCAGGGCACTGGCAGGCGTGCAGCAGCGGGCAGTACGGCGAGTCGACGGCGCGCGGGCCGCGGCACGCGGCGACCCGACACTCGTGGCCCTGGCAGTACAGCGCCCCCTCGGCGGCCGCGACGACGGACTCCCCGCAAAGCGGCCTCTCGCACGCATGCGCATCGCATAAGAAGCCACCGATACCGTGGCT